TAAATATGGTGTAAAAATGTACCCACATATAGTGCAACGACATTTTCCAAATACGTTGTAACGACATACCCCATAAAAACTACTTGCAACCGCCATACTTAAGATACGGTGACCTTCTACGAACTCATGAAGCTCTCTCCTTACAGCCCACTACTATGATCTACGTGGTTCACAACTCATGCAACTCCCAACTCTCACATCTGCAACATATGGACAATATTACAAGTCATGTAGCTCCCAACTTTGGCCTCTGTGACCTAAGCACATTGTCCCAACCAGTACAGCTCCCAACTCCAGTTAATAAACAACATTATCACTCTACGTTAAAACCTATGTGATCAAATACGACCTATGCGACTCACAACTAACACAACTCCCAACTCCATTCTCTGCGGTCTACGCATGTTATCACAACTCATCATTGCGATTTATTCGACCAACTATGACCTGCATGGTTCACAACTCATGCATCTCCTAACTCCGACCTCTTTGGCCTACAAACGCTATCATTGTTCATTATTGCGTCCTATGTGACTAATTACGAACTTCATGGCTCACAACTTATGCATCTCCCTAATACGGCCTCTGTGGCCAATTGACTTCTAAAGTGACCATTTATGGACTACATGACAAACTACTACTATGACTTTATACTTTGACCTCCACGACAAGCTAACACTACAATAACAATCACTACAAGAATTTAGCTTATTACTGACGGTTGGTAATAACATAAAAATGGTATGAAAAAATTGTATCAACAGTTTAGCGATGGCTAAATTTGACGTAGCAAAAACTATTGTCAGTAATAAAACTATCGATGGATTTAGCAGCGATTTACATTAAGTGACGAAAATTTGACGTACCATAACCATCAATAGAGATAAAAAAACATGTCAAGTTTAACTGTAGCTTGACCATTAGTTACATAATTGACACATATATTCGTAGGAAAAGTGTTGCACTTCTATTGGAAAAGTGTCACTGTTCTGTCAGTAAAATATCGTGCAACTGCCGGTTAGCTATAGGAATTTACTAAGAGTTTTGTTCGTAGCTAAAGTGCAGTGATTTTTTCTAGATGTCATTTGTTCAGTAGACCATTGGAAAACCGTCAACATATAATTAAGGGGTTGTAAAATCATCAATGAGCCGTTAAAAACCCGTACCATAAGAAAAAAAAGATTTGAAGACCTAATTGAATACTAACACTACAATTTACATACCTACAATCGTAACAATGCAATCAAAGCACCATAACTAAACTAATTAACACATAAATCTTATACAAAAATAAAAAAACAATAATTGCATTAAAACAAATAAAATATAAAACTGTACAATAAAAATAATGTTTGCTAACAATAAAGTGTTTAACAAACAAAGAAATAACAAAACCCCCTACTCATCATCCTCCTCTATCCTCTCCTCAATATCATCATCCTCACCCTCATCCTGCACCGACTCCTTCTCTTTCTACAGTTCAGAAATGCAACACCGCTTCGATCTCTACCCTCATCTCCAATCTCACGGAGGCTATTTGGGCATCAACCTAGCGATGCATCTTCTCATCTAGTATAGTGGAAGTAGATGCACCGGATGTGCTAGAGCCCGGGCAGGCATCAGAGGCCAGAGTCTGGGACCTTAACCCGTACCCCCTCCCCATCTTCTTTTTGCCAACAGGCTCCCTACAGAGGTTGTACTAAGAAGGATCCTGAGATGTGCATGAATCACTGATTGACTGATGAGATCGACTTTTCTCAAGCCTCTGGAAGGTAGTTATTTAAATTTTATACTCATTAATCTTGTGAATTACTTGGATCGCCAGAGTTCTACTGTCCATGTAGGACGATATAAATTGATCAAAGCATCAAATAAATTGAACAATTGTATATTTAACTTTAGTTTTGAAAAGATAGGAATGCATCGTTATTTTTTAAAAAGAATTGTAAGCTATAAATCATAAATTACAGTGTATAGTTGGGAACTTTAATTTTCGGGATACAAGTAGCTTCTTTAGTTAATAAGCATGCTTATTTATGAATTTAATCATGAGAAGTCATTCTTAAGTATAGTTTATAAAATTTATAATAAATATAAAAAAATATATATTCCTGCCACGATAGTTGAGATGGCCGAGTTGGTCTAAGGCGCCAGATTAAGGTTCTGGTCCGAAAGGGCGTGGGTTCAAATCCCACTCTCAACATAATCTATTCTTCTTATTTTAATTTAAGTTTTACATGCTCTGGCGACGGACTGTTCATGATCTTTTGTGTTTTCTTAATTTTTTTTTTCACCAGCGAGAATTGGAGGTGCAAAATCTTTTTATTTTGTTCGCCAACAATTACTGAAACTCGATTGATTAGGTCTTCGGACGTATCTGCTCGACAAAGGGGCCAAACTGCTCGCTCAAAGTAGGGATGGAGAATTACTCGTATTCGAGTCACGCAACTTCGATTTATCGCCCGCCATTTTGCAACAAATGATGGCCGCCATTACTGCCGCTCTGCCGCTTCCAGAGAGCTACTCCAGCGGCTCACCTGGAAATTCATTTCTTCAAACTGGGAGCGATAATTTGCGTTTTGGCCTCTCGAGACCTACCTGGATCGTTAAAACCGAGGTAACCTACTCGCTCCTATTCTTCTGCCCTCGTACCGACAAAGAAACTGCTCCATCTGTTTGTTAGCTTCATTGCTTTCAGGGAAGGGAATGAATTTGTAGATTTAAGTCACTCGTATCACTTTGGATGTTCTAAATTTTCGATCTTGCTCCTTTTTATATGGTTTATCGTGGCTTTTAAGGGGTAGATATGATTTGTTTCCTAATGAGCATTTTAGAATATTTGATGCAAATTCTATTAACTGATGTGTGCTGGTGATATAAATTAGATGTTAGCGAACAAGGGGATGTTTGGTAGTCAGATTTGAGCTGGCATTTAGGGCACTATTTAACATAAATCCAGCCAAACAAAAAAAATCAGAGAAATTTAATCCGCACTTGGCTAAAGCCAATTCTCCTTTCCTTTTGCTAATTTTTTAACATAAATTCTGATTTATTGAATCCGATTATTATATGAATTTAACAGATTTAGCTTAGGAAGAAAATCAAAAGAGTGGATTTATGCCAAATAAGAAAAACGAGAAAAAACACGATTATTTATTCACAACATTTGGGTTTGATAAATATGGATTTATTAGATTTACTAATTCCAATTAAACCTAAATCTTAGAGGCAACTAAGCACCAAGTTTATTTGTTTATTCTAGCTATTTGGTGACGTGTGGGGCGTGGGGGGTGGGCGTGAGAGAGAGAGAGAGAGAGAGAGAGAGAGAGAGAGAGAGAGAGAGAGCAGGGAGAGAGAGAGAGAGCAGGTGAGTTGGGATATTGTGCACTTCGAGCAGCTCGGGACTTCTAAACAGAGCCGTATGTCACCTCCCAAAAGAGCTCTTAGGGGTGGTGGGCAACCCAAGACTTAAATACTGCTTTTCGGCCATACACCTAGCTGATGTTGATGTGAGACTTTTTACTTTTTGTCCGTGACATTCTCCTCCACCCAATCATGTGAAACCCTCATCACGGATCGGCTCCACCGAGGGTTCCACTGAACCATAAAGAGTCCACACACCTGACAGACAATAATCCGCTCTGATACCACTTGTCACATTCCAAAAGAGCTCTTAGGGGTGGTGGGCAGCCCAGGACTTAAATATTATTTTTTGACCCTACATTTAGCCGATGTGAGACTTTTTGTCCGTGACACGTAGCTCAAAAGTCCTTGAAGAGATAGGGAATGACAAATTGAAAGAACAAGAAAATATTTTTCGTATTAGCTGCTCTATCAGCCATAAATTTTATTTATAGCTGCGAAAAGAAAAGATTACAAGAAATTAGTAGTGTCTAAAAAAATTTGTTAGACCACTAAATCAACCCTCTTAAATCGACATTACAACATAAAGTTAATTCGAACAAGTAAAAGAATCTTTGATAGAGATAAGGAGAGGAAGAAGGAAGCAAAGAGAGAAAGAATATATGAAGCTTGAAGAAAGATACGTTTCCAACACTCAAACTTTATTACTTTTTTTAAATTGTGAATTACATCAATATACATGTTATATTTATATACATAAGTTGTGGCAAACTTGTAAATAGACTTAATGTTACAATGGTCATTTGACTATAAGTCAGGTTACCATATGTGATATGAAATTGCTCTTTTTGTTTGTAAGAATCCTAAGCTTCTCTGTTCGAAGACTAGAATGGCGAGGCGGAAAGGAGAAGAGACACTAGCGACCTAGAGAAGATTGAAGGTGTGTATTACCCTCCCTTAAAATGATGATCTAAAGGAGAGATCGTCAGCTTGCTGGTAAGTTGGCGATGACGGTGAGTAGGGATATTGTGCACTTCGAGTAGCTCTGAGCTCCTAAACAGAGTTGCATATCACGCTTCACCATCTTCAAGAATAATTATCAATGTAAACATGAAAATAAAATATTCTAGAGAATCCCAGAATGTAGAGAGCAATCCAAGAGACTTTAGAATATTCCACAGCATTCTAGAAAATACTAGAAAGAAAGAGAATATTCCAATGAATTCTAAACAAGCTTCAAAAGAATTCTGGAATATTCTAGAAAGTTCTAGAATCATGCATAATAAAGAATAATATAGAACTATTTAGAAATTAGTGTATTCTAATGTAATCTAGAATGTTTCCTTTGTCTTGGAGGGCTATAAATAGGAGTCTCTCTCCTCATTTGTAAACATTCATTAAAGGATCCAAGAAAACCTTCCAAGCTTCCAAGTGTTCAAGCGTTGTAATCATGTTTTCTTAATGAAGTGTTCATTTCTTCAATACTATCTACTCTTCTTCTTAGAGAGTTGTGTGCTTATAAGTCAAAGCGTTGTGAGGGTGTTAGTCTGATTTTGTGTCAAGAAAGAGAGTTAAAGACGCATGGGTGACTAGAGATAAGTTAGTCTGTGACAGTTAATATCAGAGCCTCGGTTTGAATGTATGAAAAAAAACATCAAGAGCACGTAATAGAGAACGAAGCAACTAATGTGGAATCATCTCAACAAAGGCGAGGTCGTGAGGACCAACGAGATCCAGCTGCATCCAAACCACATGAGAGGTCTAAGGATATCAGACACGACTTTAATTCACACCTTGCTCAGGTGGAGGAGACAATGAATGGTGTGGACGCTCAGATAGAGGATATCTACCAAAAGGTTGATGGACTCGAGGATGACATCACAATCCCTTTAATGATTGGAGATATGATGCTCCAACTGGAGGAATCCTCAAGGGATCAAATGGTTAAGATGCAGGAGGATTTGATGGGAAGCTCCAGGAGGTACGAAGAACCCATGAAAACGAGATGAGCAGCATACATGCTAGCTTGGAGGAAATGTGTGGAGACATCTCACTGTGCAAGAGGACACTTGCAACACCCACCAACCCTCACACCTTCGAAGCTAAGAGGATTGAAGTTCCAAAACCAAAGAGTTTTAGAGGAGCTCGCAACGCGAAGGAAGTGGACAATTTCTTAGGGACTTGAGCAATACTTTAGAGTGATGAAGATTACAAATGATGAGGCAATGATATAATTTGCAATTTTTTATCTCTAAGACATCAATATGTTGTGGTGGAGAAGAAGACGAGAGATACTGAGAAAGATATGTGCACCATATCCATCTTTGATGACTTTAAGAAGGAGCTAAAAAGATAATCCTACCCTGAAAATGCAGAGGATGAGGCTAGAGCCCGGTTGTGAAGGCTCAGGCAAGAGGGATCGATTCGAGAATAAATTAGGAAGTTCACAAGCTTGGTTCTTGAAATTCCAGACATGTTTGACAAGGATGCTCTTTTCAACTTCACAGATGGACTCCGACAGTGGGCAAAGACAAATTTTAGGAGGCACGGAGTGCAAGATATTGTCACTGCTATTGCGGTAGCCTAAAGCTTTATTGATTACTCAAAAGAATCCACAAAGCCTAAAGATAAGAAGAGCACCTGTGTCAAGGGTGGAGAAGACAAGGATCAACATAAGAAAGAGACCCTCAACGAATCAACTTCATCCAAAGAAAAAGACAAATGGAAACGTACAAATGACAAAACTAAACCACACAACAGGTGCTTTTTTTGTGATGGACCACATTGGGCAAGTGATTGTCTTCAAATGAAGGCTTTGAACTCTCTTATTGCAAGCCATAAGGAGGAAAAAAGTTGCTGAATGGGATGCAAGCTCCAGCAATGCCCCAAGAAAAAGAGTTATTCTTTGTGGAGATGTTAATAAGTGGGAAGACCACTAGAGCAATGATGGACACGTGCGCTTCACATAACTTCATCTCCGTCGAGGAAGCAAATAGATTGGGTTTTGCAGATGACCAAAGGAGGAGGCTCTATCAAGACGGTCAGTTCAGCAGAAAGATCAATCCATGGAATAGCTAGAGGGGTAAAAACCAACATTGGGGCGTGTTCAAGTAACTTGGACTTCTCTGTCATTCACATGAATGATTTTAAAGTTGTTTTAGGAATGAACTTCTTAAATCAAACAAGAGCATTCCCAATGACCTTCGCTAGTAGCATGTGCATCATGGAAGGGAATCAAGATTTCTAGTGCCGATAATAAGGGCTAACAAGCAGGAAGTCAAAGTGCTATCGGCCATATAATTCAAAGAGGGCATTCCAAAAGATAATGAGATTTACTTGGCTGTTCTTCACAAAGAAGCAAAGCCCCAAGATGGCATGTTAAGGGAAGTGGTGGAGGTTCTTAAAGAACTGCCACTAAGGAGGGAGAATATTATTCAGTTAGGCTGGAAAAACCTTAGGAAACACCTAGGAAAAACCTAAGTTTGCCAAGAGCAAACAAAAGAAGCTCGTCCGAGTACCAAGGGTAAGCCGCATTGAGGACATTGTGAGCTTAAGTGGGGGAGAGTGTTACGCTCCGCCATCTTCAAGAATAATTGGCAAGGTAAACATGAAAAATGAATATTCTATAGATGTCTAGAATGTAGAGAGCAATCCTAGGGACTTTTGAAGATTCCACAACATTCTAGAAAAAAAACTAGAAAGAAAGAGAATATTCCAAAGAATTCTAGAAAATTCCACATAATTCCAGAAATATGCTGAAAGAAGTAAGCTTTAAGCGAATTCTGGAATATTTTGGAAAGTTCTAGAATCATGTATACGTAAAGAATAATGTAGAACTATCTAGAAATTAGTGTATTCTAATGTAATCTAGTATGTTCCCTTAGTCTTGGAGAGGACTATATATAGTAGTCCTTCCCCTCATTTTGTATCCATCTAAGAACCATCCAAATTTCTCAAACTTCTAAGCATTCAAGTATTGTAATATTTCTTTCTTAGTGAAGTGTTGCTTTCTCTAATACTTCTCCCTACTATTCTTCTTAGAGTGTTGTGTGCTTACAAGTTCAAGCATTGTGAGAGTGTTAGGTTGATTCAGTGCTAAGGAAAAACGTTAAAACTGCACGGGTGACTAGAGATAAGCGAGTCTGTGACATGCAGCTCAAAAGTCCTAGAAGGGATAAGGAATGACAAACTAAAAGAATAGGGAAAATCTTTTTTTTTTTGCTACACTGTCATTTAGAAATTTTATTTATAGCTGCTAAAAGAAAATATTACAAGAAATTATTATTGTCTAAAAAAATTGTTAGACCACTAAATCAACCCTCTTAAATCGTCATTAATAACACAAAGTTATGCCTCAAACTTGCTAAAGGATCTTTGATAGAGAAAATAAGGGGATGAAGAAGGAAGAAAGAAGATAAAGATTAGAAGAAGCTCGAAGAAAGATTTGTTTCCAACACTTAAAGTTTATTACTTTTTCTAATTGTGAATTACATTAATATACATGTTTATATTTATATACATGAGTTGTGGCAAATTTATCAATAAACTAAAGGCTACGATGGTCCTTTGACTATAAGTGTACGATACTATATGTGATATGAGATTGCCATTTTTGTTTGTAGAAATCCCAAGTTCCTCTGTTCGAATACCAGAGTGGCGAGGTGGAAATGAGACGAGACACTAGCGAACCAGAGAAGATTGAAGGTTTGAAGGTGCATATTACCCTCCGCTCAAGATGATGATCTAGAGGAGAGATCGCCAACTTGCTGGTAAGTTGGTGATGTGGTTGATTGGAAGCGCTTTTGTAAGTATGTCTACAACTTTATCTTCAGAAATAAGAAGTAAATCAATATGCTTGAGTCGAAGATGATCTCGGATGATGCGGTAGTCCACTTCGATGTGTTTAGTTCGGGCATGGAAAATTGGGTTGTGAGCCAAGGTGATTGTAGAGGTGCTATCGCTGTATAAGATGGTTGGGAGAGGCGATTTGTTGGTAAGCTCTTGTAGTAATGTTCGAGTCTAGAGTATTTTCGTGATAGTTGTAGCCAAAGCCTTTTATTTGGCTTCAGCAAATGAGCGGGCCACTATTGATATATAGATAGAAAATTGGAAATAGATCTTCTGTATGTGGTATCGCTAGCCCAGTTAACATCTACATAAGCGTTTAGAGGCATATGTACAAAAATAATTGGAATCCTGTAATTTGAAACTTATTTTAAGTAGCATAAACGCTTTTTTAAATTTTTGTTAGTGTTAAAGAGTTGGTTGATGCTTATGCTAACTTAAATAAATAATTGACAGTAAATGATATGTTTGGCTGAGTAACAGTAAGACATTGGAGAGATTCAATAGTATACTGTTTGAAATCATACATGAGGGTAGAGGGTGAAGACTGCTTATGTTGATTCGTGGGAAGAGGAGCAAGAACTTCTTTTGCTTGTACATGCCGGTTCTATTTAAAAAATCAGTTATATAATTTGTTTAATTTAAAAAATAACCTTGAAGTGTTTTGTGGATGTGTTGTCCAAGAAAGTTGATATTGGGCCATGTTGTTTGAGATTAAATTTGTTGCTTAGAGTGCTTATGAGAGTTTGATACTAGTAGGGGAATTTCTTGTACTTAACATGTAAGCAAGCAGGAAAATATAGATGTGTTGATGATTATAAATTAAGAGAGATTGATTGGCTGTGCGTAAAGTAGCTCAGGACTCCTAAACAGAGAGAGCAAGTGAGTAGGGATATTATGCACTTCGAGCAACTCAGAACTCCTAAACAGAGCCGTAGCTCAAAAGCCCTTGAAGAGATAGGGAATGACAGAATGAACAAACAGGAAAAATCTATTTTGTTTTTGCCGCCCTATCAACCATAAATTTTATTTATAGCTGCTTCAAGAAAAGATTACAAGAAATTATTAGCGTCTAAAAAAATTTGTTAGACCACTAAATCAACCCTCTTAAATTGGCATTACAACATAAAGTTAATTCGAACTACCAAATGATTGTTTGATAGAGATAAGGAGAGGCAGAAAGAAGCAAAAAGAGAAAGAGTAGATGAAGCTTGAAGAAAGATATGTTTCCAACACTCAAACTTTATTACTTTTTTTAAATTGTGAATTACATCAATATTGTTATATTTATATACATAAGTTGTGGCAAACTTGTAAATAGACTAAATGTTACAATGGTCATTTGACTATAAGTTTAGGTTACTATATGTGATATGAGACCGCCCTTTCTGTTTGTAGAAATCCCAAGATTCTCTATTCGAAGACTAGAGTGGCGAGGCAGAAAGGAGACGAGACACTAGTGAACTAGAGAAGATTGAAGGTGCATATTACCCTCCCTTAAGATGATGATCTAAATGAGAGATTGTCAGCTTGCTGGTAAGTTAGCGATGACGATGAGTAGGGATATTGTGCACTTCGAGTAGCTCGGGGCTCCTAAACAAAGTTGCATATCATGCTCTGCCATCTTCAAGAATAATTGTCAATGTAAACCTGAGAATGGAAGATTCTAGAGAATCCTAGAATGTAAAGAGCAATCCAAGTGACTCTAGAATATTCCACCGCATTCTAGAAAAAACTAGAAAGAAGGAGAGTATTCCAAGCAATTCTAGAAATTTTCACATAATTCCAGGAAAATGCTGAAAGAAACAAGCTTCAAAAGAATTATGAAATATTCTAGAAAATTCTAGAATCATGTATACGTAAAGAATAATGTAGAACTATTTAAAAATTAGTGTATTCTAATGTAATCTAAAATGTTCTCTTTGTCTTGGAGGACTATAAATAGGATTCCCTCATCTCATTTGTAACCATCCAATAAAGGATTCCAAGCTTCCAAGTATTCAAGTGTTGTAATCATTTTTTTTAATGAAGTGTTCATTTCTCCAATACTTCTCTGTACTTTTCTTCTTAGACTGTTGTGTGTTTATAATTTAAAGCGTTGTGAGGGTGTTAGGTTGATTAGTGCCAAGAAATAACGCTAAAGCCGCACGGGTGACTAGAGATAAATTAGTCCATGACAGTTAGTATCAAAACACCAGTTTGAAGGTATGACAAAAAGCGTCAAGAGCACGTAATGAAGAACCAAGTCACTGATGTGGAATCATCTCAGCAAAGGCGAGGTCGTCAGGAGCAATGAGATTCAGTTGCATCTAAACCACATGAGAGGTTTAAGGAGATCATGCACGACTTTGATTCGCATCTTGCTCAGATGGAGTAGGCAATGAATGACATGGAGACTCAGGTAGAGAATATTGACCAAAAGGTTGATGGACTCGAGGATGACATCATGATCCATTCAATGATCAGAGGTATGATGCTTCAACTGGAGAAATCCTTAAGGGATCAAACGACTAAGATGCAGGAAGATTTGACGGGAAGCTCTAGGAGGCACAAAGAACCCATGAAGACGAGATGAGCGACGTACATGCTAGCATGGAGGAAATGCTTGGAGACATCTCACTGTGTAAGAGGGCACTTGTGACACCCACCAACCCTCACACCTTCGAAGCAAAGAGGATTGAAGTTCCAAAACGAAAGAGTTTGAGGAGCTCGCAACACGAAGGAAGTGGACAATTTCTTATGGGGACTTGAGCACTACTTCAGAGCGATGGAGATTACGGATGAAGAGGCAAGGATATAATTTGCAACTTTTTATTTCTAAAACATCGTTATGTTGTGGTGTAGAAAAAGACGAAAGATATTGAGAAAGATATGCGCACCATGTTGTTGACCTCATTTCTGGATGTGGTCTTTTTTGTCTCTCCTTAGAGCCTAGGGCCTAGCTTTAGGCTTTCCCTGTTCGACTCTCTTAGAGGACTAGTACGGAACCCACACCATTTAGAAAATTCAAGTCACCTCGTCACTCCTTCGAGTTTCGCATGGGCGGTCCCAAATTCTCGACATTCTGTTGAGTTGATTATGATCGACACATGAAACTCGAATCGAGTTCCTACATTAATAGGAACATCCCCTAGGGAACCCCCTTTGCACTCGAACGCTCGATAACGCTGCATTTTTGCGCACGCATCACACTCCGCACAATTTTGGCTTAAATTGACTCGCCCGTCGGCAAACTCGTCCGGACGACCCCGGATGATGAAACGAACCGCGCTGACGCGTCTGGAACATCTACTTTAGCTAGGAAGGACACTCATATCTTTATAGTTTCGCGCACGAGCGACTAGCACGAATATCGATGCACTTTTTTTAGCGGTGCGCGGGCTCGGGCTCAACTCAGGTCCGACTCGGGTTTGGTTCAGGCTGGACTCGGGCTGAACACGGGCTAGAAACCAGCTCACCTGAATTTGAAATTCAAATTTCAAAATTCAAACGAATTATTTAAATTTTTTATCTTAATTAAAATTAATTCAGGTCTTGATGCTTTCCAATTAATCCTCCCTGCATTTGGAATTCATTAATTTCCCCGTCAACTGCTTCCAGAGTAACAACTATTGACCCCACTCTTATTCTAGTGGGGGTGCTGACCTTCTTCTTTTTCTCTCGACACGATTCGAGAGGCTCTCGACCGAAAACTCCCATTCGCTCCTCCCCTCTGCACCGAGAGCCTTCCTCGCTCGAGACACGATTTGACTTCCTCTTCCTCCTCACACTCTTCCTCCTCATGCTCAATCCCTCCTCCCTCCTCCCGCTCGGCTCGAACTTTTCTTGCTCGGTTTCCTTGCGTTCGATCAAACACTACACGA